GCCCGCGGGCCGGCCGCTTAACGAAGGCGGTAGGAAGGCGGCTGCCGCTTTTAAAAAGCGGCTGCCGCCGGCGGTGCGCCGTCCAACGTGTTTGCGATGTCGCCATTCTGATGCTTCTACTGCCGCCGGAGAACCGACGGTGGTCCGCCGACTCATTGCTATCTGGGAACCCCGCCCCCCCCCCCCGACTACTTTTTTCCACACAGTGCTATCAGGAATCGATAAGAGAATCGTTAAAGAATCGGATCGATAAGCAGAATCGTAAGTGGCATTGATATTGATAAAATCTTATGTTTCTTATGATAACTGAGATAATGCTGCTATATTTATTTATTTTTTTACCTTGAATGTCATTGCTCTAATTTATTTTTTATATTTTTCATATTTCATATTTTGTTCAAATGGTTAATATAGCCTATATGCTGTTCATATGTTCATTTATTAGTGTGTTATATGATTAGAATGTTGTCCCAGTTTTAAAATAAAGCACAGCAATGATATTTGAGTGTTTCTCCCTTTTCAGGAAAAGTATCGAAAAAGTATCGAAATCGCAATTCTTGACTTGGTATTGGTATCGAAACAATAATTTTGGTATCGTGACAACACTACCGCCTACCCGATCACAGTCACCTGAATTCTAATCACCAGCACCTGCACGTCATGATTACACTCCCTATATCAGCCACCACTTCCTTCACTTCAGTGTCTGGTCTCGTCTCTTCAGGACCCAAGACTGCTCACCCATGCTATCATCTACCGCTGTACTTACCTGTTGTTCTTCGTTGTCTCTGTTCATCGTCGTCATCCTGACTATCACCACCACCATCATCATCATTATCAAGGACAATCCTCTGATTCAGCTAAGTTCTCACCATTATCAGCATTTCCTGTCATCGATCATCTCTACCAGCCTTGCTCGCTCTGCATTTAAATAAAAGTTTGTTTGTTACACTTTCACCTTGTCTGCCTTCTTATGGATGTGACAGAAGACCAGACCGCCAACATGCAGAGACCGAGCGCCACTGCCATGGATTCCTTCGCTGAATTGGTGAACGCTGTTCGTCATGCACTTCCTCCACCACCCACCTCTTCTTCACCTGCTGCCTCTGCCAGTCCCATGGCCCGACCTGCGACATACAGCGGCGAGGCGGAGGATTGCAGCGGGTTTATTCTACAGTGCAATCTACATTTCGAGATGCAACCTCACCACTACACCACCGATCGAGCACGCATTGCGTTTGTGATATCACTTCTCTCCGGTCGTGCTCTTCAGTGGCCTCAATCACCATGGCAAGCCGATGTTCCTGTTACCAAGTCATTGTCAGCATTCTTTACACACTTCAAAGAAGTTTTTGGTCAAACTATTTCCCAGCTATCCGTCCATGATCAACTTTTTCACCTTCAAAAAGGTAATCAATCGGTGAGTTGCTATGCCTTACAATTCCGTACACTTGCCGTGGCAAGTGGCTGGAATGAACCTGCCCTCCTCACTGCCTATCGTCAAGGGTTAGATCCTGAGGTCCGACAATTAATGGTCATTCATGATGACAGTATGGGATTAGAGAACTTTATCCAGAAATCCATCCGGGTTGCTTAACGCCATTCTGCTTGCTCTATATTCCAACCCACTTTGCATCCTCCGCCTCTGGTACCATCTGCCGCCCTTCCAACACCAGAACCCATGCAGATTGATGCGTACCATCTTACACCGGCGGAGCGTCAAAGGAGATGGCAAAATCATCTGTGTTTATACTGTGGGGGAAAAGGACATCATCCAACTGTCCTGTTCGACCTCCACGCCCTGCGGTGAGTACCATCCAACTTTCTCCAAGAATTGCATCTCTGATCCGTACCACAGCATATCTTGTGACATCCCGTTCAACTGTTTCAGCCCAAGCTCTCATCGATTCCGGCTCAGCGAGCAACTTCATCTCCCACAAACTTCTACAAAGGCTCAATGTCAAGAGGAAACGCTGCTCCCAGAACCTAGAGATTCACACCATTTTGGGTAAGCCGCTGGGTTGTGGTCGCATCTGTTATTTCTCCCCCACCATGACGCTCCGCATCGGTTGCTTGCATTCCTTAGAGATTTATTTTTTGGTGTTGGAAGGATCCACCACGGACATCATCCTGGGACGCCCGTGGATGCTCCAACATAATCCGCAGATCAACTGGAATTCCGGAAGAGATTCTCCAGTGGGGCAAATCCTGTTACCAAGAATGCTTGTCTCCCGTGACTAAAGTTCCACGTCCTCCTTCGCATTTCTGTTCTGATCCCTCGCTCGTCTTGAATTCCACCACCATTGAGAGTCCCGATTCCAACAAAATGATAGTGATTCCCCTCAGAATACCGGGCGTTCCAGGATGTGTTCAGCAAGCGGTTGGCAACGCAATTACCACCACACCGGCCATGGGACTGCCCCATCGACCTGCTACCTGGGGCGACTCTACCCAAGGGTCGAGTCTATCCCCTGTCCATCCCGGAACAGAAGGCCATGGAGGAGTACATCAAGGAGGCACTCCGACAGGATTTCATTCGTCCGTCAACGTCCCCTGCCGCTTCCAGTTTCTTTTTTGTGGCTAAAAAGGACGGAGACTTGCGGCCATGCATCGATTACCGGACTCTCAACTCACAGACTATTAAGTACAGTTATCCCCTTCCTCTGGTCCCCTCTGCCTTGGAACAGCTACGCGGTGCTTGCGTTTTCTACAAGTTGGACCTTAGAAGTGCCTACAATTTGATTCGTATCCGCAAGGGCGACGGATGGAAGACAGCCTTTGTTACCCCTTACGGCTATTACGAATACCAGGTTATGCCATACGGTCTGTCCAATGTTCCTTCGGTCTTCCAAGGATACATGAATGAGATATTCCGAGATTTCCTCCAACGATTTGTCATTGTCTATATCGATGATATCCTGATATTCTCCCAGAATCTAACGGAACACCGTCAACATGTGAAAGAGGTCTTCCAGCGCCTCAGAGAACAACATCTCTTCTTAAAATTAGATAAATGTGAGATCCACACCTCCACGGTCCACTTTCTCGGCTACATCATCAACCAACGAGGTATCCAGATGGACCAGAGGAAGGTGGAAGCCATCCAGACCTGGCCTCAACCTGTCACCATCAAAGAACTTCAGAGATTCCTCGGATTTGCACATTTCTATCGTAGATTCATTCACAACTACAGTCTTCTCAGCTCCCCCCTGACTTCACTCCTCAAAACCCGGCCCAAGTCTCTGTCCTGGAACCCAGAAGCCACCACTGCATTCACCACTCTCAAGGAAGCTTTCGCCACTGCTCCCATCCTGATCCACCCTAATCCGGATTTACCGTTAAGTATAAGTCAAGTACACTTAAGTGTAATTTTAAGTATATTTCTGTTAAGTACATAAAGTATGTTTCTGAGAAGTATATAAAATGTAGACTGAAAGTATACTTTCTTATTTTTTAGTTTAAAAGAAGTATACTAATAGAAGACTTGAATAAACTTCTTTTTCGTAAGGGACAAGATGGAAAGAATGGAAAAATGGAAAAGAATGGCCGCAGGTGGAAAAGCGGGGTCCAGTAAGAGTGGCTCTGGAGAATGTTCTCTGCTCCAGCTGAAATAGGATCAGGAGCTCTGACATCACCATCTTTCCATTCATACAGTTTGAAGGAATCTGAAGCTCAGTGTGCAGTACTAAAGGTAATAGGCTGGTGGGTGAGAAAGGGCAAACTTGAAACACATCAGTGCTGAAAAGACCAGTTTAGACCAGAATGAGCTTCAATGCTGGTTCAGGGTGTTTTGGTGCTTGTCTAGCTGTTTGTAAATTATTTTTGTATATCTGAATACTTTGCATACGTTTTGATGTTGATTTGAATAGGGAACAGCTACAATTTTTCATATTGAGAATTTTAATGAATAGGAAAAGTGTAAAATTAAGTGATGTAAATGGACAACACACTTTCACGTGCTATCCCATTTTCATATGGTTCGAAAAAAATATGACCTCATGAAGGTAAAAATGCCCCCTAATATCATCAGAAAAAGTAAATATCACAACAAAAAAGTTCTGACATTAGTTTAATGTCTTCTCCTTTTTCACTTTTAGTCTTACTTTTTTTCTTCCTTCCTTCCAAATAGGTGAACGTGATTTTACCAAGGAATCTTGACATAAACTGTAAACTTCCCTCAAACCTAATTGGTACAACATGTAGTACAACATGTTCATTGGTACAACACCAAGTACAACATGTTCCTGGATCATATTTGTTGATCCTGGAACAACATTCCAATCAACCAATCTGATTTGAGGGAAGTTTGCAGTTTATGTCAAGTTTAGGCTTACAACCAGGATTAGTTGCTTCTACATTAGTGTTATTCATCTATTATTTCCCTCTGATTTTAGGGATAAGTTATTGGTAGGGTTGGGTTTAGGGGTAGGTATAGGGATAGGGTTATGACTAATTTTGCATCCTGAGTAAAAATTTACCATTTCCACTCAAATTGTGCTGGTGCTGGTGCTTATGCTGGTACTGAACTGGGGAAACTGTAAACTCTGTGGTGTAAATCATTAGAAATCACCTTTAAACACAGCACTTTTTCTTTTACTTTAGTCTCTGTCTAATCTGACAATGTCTTTTTTAACTTAAAAGTGACAGGCGGCGCCTTTAAAAATGCAAGATGCCAAGCAACTATATCTTTAGTGACGAAGGGACACAAGACGTGTTTTTAAAAATGTGTGCTCATCTATGAGATGTGGTGCAACGGTCAAATTTACAAGTAATTTTTCAGAAACAACAGTATATTTGAAAACCAGAAATGTACATGAAAGCGTAGTCACTGCACATTAATAAGAAAAAATTATAAGACCTGTACCAGCTCTCTCCAAAGAAAGGATAACAGTACAGCAGATAACTATAGACAGAATACAGTTACTCAACATTCAACCTGTCCTTGCCTGTCATGTCACATTAGACTAGAATATCAGACACTAGGTGATTCTCTGTCTTACCAGTGTACTCCAGGTGGGTCTGTCTGAAAATCCTGTTCTATGCACCAAAGGAGAAAACTCTGGCCTCAATGTCACCTGCAAAACAAAGAGGGACAATCACTCACTCACATATAGTCTAAACCAGGGGATTCCAATTTTTAGATGTTACTCACTCACATATAGTCTAAACCAGGGGATTCCAATTTTTAGATGTTACTCACTCACATATAGTCTAAACCAGGGGATTCCAATTTTTAGATGTTACTCACTCACATATAGTCTAAACCAGGGGATTCCAATTTTTAGATGCCATAGACCCCCAATAAGTTCATCCTTTTGTGAGGGACCCCATTCTAAAAAAGGGGGTTTATTAACTGAAAATATAGCTGTCAACGTTAACGCGTTATTGCATGCAATTAATTCAAAACTCTTAACAAATTAAAATGATTTAACACAAATAACACAAATTACTGAAGCGCTTGAAATTGCATCATTAACGTAATTTACGACACACAGTTAAATGGTCTTAGAAGTCGGAAGTTTATCACACTGAGCATTTACAATGCCACAAACACCTGTATCCCTGGGTAGAAATTTATATTTTAACCCTTTAACCCAATTACGCTTCTCTGTTTACGATCAGATAATTTTAAGCTGCTAAAATCCAGGACAATTTTCAGCCCAATGATTCAGTGAGCGAATTCTTTCAAACAATCAGTCCAAAACAGTGCTAATGTAAAGAAAACCAGGCTTATTATTACAACAGAGATGGCAGAGAGAACAGTGACTTGCATTTCCAGTTTTCAATTAATTATTCATTCCAGTGTCTGTTTATCTTTAAAACACGAGCTTGTCATTGTTACGGAAGAGCGCGAGTCCTCACGGACCGTGCTGTGCGAAATACACTCAACGGATCGTCAAAACATCCCACCGATGGCCAGATGATATGCAAACTATGTTTCTCTGCTGGATAAAGCAAACCACTGTATCACTAGTTTAATGGATGCAGATTGTAAAGACAATCAGTGACGTTCAGGAGTCGTACAGTAAGCACGCGAGTCCATTATATTGAACCACAAACTGTGTATGTGTGCTTTCAACGCACAGATGCAAGCAAAATGCAAGCACGACGTACATTCTACTAAAATGCTATTGAAGTTAGAAATGTGTATACCAATGTCGTATGTAACTTTAGAGATGGTCCCCAAATTTGTGAATATCGAACTAAGCATTTTCACATAAAGAAAACGCTTAATGTGGTTTATTGTAGTGATAAAAGACCAAATTTGGTATAACATACTATGTACAGTTAAGCAGATTAAGCCCAGAATGTTAACGCAATGCGTATCCTCCCATAGAAAACCATTATAAAGAAAATGCTAAGCGTGCAGTGTAGCGTGTTGCATTGCCCTGGTCTCATCTGCTTGCATCACCAATATAGCGAGTTTGGTCTTTTTATAGCCTACATGCATTAAGCCAAGTTAAAGTTTTTTTTTTTTTTTTTTTTTTTTTTTTACAGTGATTTAACGATTTTCTATGGCAAATAACTTTCTGGGCTCATCTGCTTGTTGTATATGGTATAGTGTTGTGTATTGTACATCAACGTGTATACTGGGTTTGATATTATATTACTGTATTAGTCTAATAAGCCATGTTAAGCATTTTCTTTATAACAGTAGTATTACAGAACAGCGTTGCACAAGCTATAATATAAGTTAAAGGAGAACTCCGGTCAATTTTAACATTGAGCTCATTTTTTTTTACATTTGGAGTGCTGTCAGTACAGACAAAAACGACAAAAATCGGTGTTGCCTACACCGTGTTATCCTCTTTTTAAAATTCGCACCCTGTTGACTTCAATGGGGCAAGTTCTAAACCTGCTTTTAGCCTCTTAACAACCTTAATGTGTCATTACAAGTGCACAGCCATGTGAGTGGTGTTATTAAGAGTGACCACGGTCAATCTGACTGCAGTAGATGTAAAAGATATTAATAAAAATGATGTTAACCCTTTCGCACGTACGTTTAAAATATTCTAACTGACCCCCCAGCGTGAGTTTTTCAAGGCGACCGTTATTTAGAACCTGTCACTTTAATGTTTCCATGGTGACGCGTCATTTCTTGTCACGTGACACAGCGCAATCACAACACAGAGCTGAATGAGTGATGATCTGCTTTTATGTCTTTTTTCCTTTTCTATTCAAAATATTCACACATGTATTAGCTATAGCATGAAACACTGATATTCCGATTGTCAAATATGTGCAAGTGGATGTGTGTTGCTGTTTAAACGTCTTTATAACGATCGCGTTAGTTGAGCTGGATGCGCGATGGGCGGCGCCATGTTAGTTTGTTTCACAGTTCAGAGAATCGGATCTGTTGTTTCTCACGAAATACATGAAAGTAAGTGGCCGGTGAACTAGGAGAAGAATAGGGTAAAATGTAAAGCTACTTACACAATGTGTATCTGATATGAATAAAACGTTTTGTCTTATTATAATGGAAATGATTATTGTAGCCGTTTCCATAGACATCAGTGTCTATTTTACTAATTCAAAATCACTGTTTTGCTAGTACTTATGTGTATTTAAATGTCTGAAACCTAAAATAAATATTATGTGGTTTAAAATACTCAATAGTTGTGATATATGACAGCACTGAGTGCGTCCGTCTCTGGCTCAGCGCCAGCCAACGCGCGAAAGCACGTTTGAATTTAGCAGTTGATCACGTGATGCACTGACCGTTCTAATCACACCAGGGTGTGATCGTACGCTCCAGGGACCAGCCAAGACTGATCACACCGGTGTGATCGTACGCTCCAGGGACCAGCCAAGACTGATCACACCGGTGTGATCGTACGCGTGAAAGGGTTAATTCAGCCAGCTCACATACCTGTATTTACTTCCTGTTTTCGTTCGAAGTCCACAGTAGTCGATTGTCGAGTTCGCGCGCGCGATCATTAGTTATATCAGTTACCAATGATCGCGCGCGCGAACTCGACAATCGACTACTGTGGACTTCGAACGAAAACAGGAAGTAAATACAGGTATGTGAGCTGGCTGAATTAACATCATTTTTATTAATATCTTTCACATCTACTGCAGTCAGATTGACCGTGGTCACTCTTAATTACACCACTCACATGGCTGTGCACTTGTAATGACAAATCAAGGATGTTAAGAGGCTAAAAGCAGGTTTAGAACTTGCCCCATTGAAGTCAACAGGGTGCGAATTTTTAAAAAGAGGATAACACGGTGTAGGCAATACCGATTTTTGTCGTTTTTGTCTGTACTGACAGCACTCCAAATGTACAAAAAAATTAGCTCAATGTTAAAATTGACCGGAGTTCTCCTTTAAGAAAACCTAACAACTGAGATGTTATTGTTACAATGTTGGTTGCAGCAGAGACAAAACAGGATCTAAGTGCAGCAGTCTTTACTGACAAATAAACTCAAATCTTTACCAAACGAATTTGCAGGATCGTGAACAAGAACAAGATCGGGGACAGAACAACCAACAAAATGCAATGTTAAGAACTGACAAATAACAAGACAGAACACAGTGTTTAAATAGACAGAGCAAATTAACAAGACACACTTGAACTGAACTAACAATCAATCAGAAACTATAGAAACAAACAGGCAGGGGGCGGAGGAAGACAGAACTGAACTAATTGACAAATTAACCAAACTTAGACAACAGAAATCAAAACAAACTGACATCATGACAGAACCCTCCCGGAAGGCATCTCCTCACACCGCAAAGCCGTAAACAGGGGTGGGAGGGTGGTAGCCCTGGAGGCCGAAGAGGATGAGGCCTAGCGGGACAGGTAGCCTCCAGTGGCGGCAGCGGCAGTTCAGGGGGGCAGGGCGAATCCGACAGTTAAGGAGGCCAGGGCAGATCTGACAGTTCAGGAGGCTACCACCCTCCCACCCCTGTTTAAGGCTTTGTGGCGTGAGGACACACCTTCCGGGAGGGAGGCGTTCTGTCATGATGTCAGTTTGTTTTGATTTCTGTTGTCTATGTTTGGTTAATTTGTCAAACCAGAGAGGATCCGACAGTTCAGGAGGCCAGGGAGGATCCGACAGTTCAGGAGGCCAGGGCGGATCCGACAGTTCAGGAGGCCAGGGCGGATCCGACAGTTCAGGAGGGACCAGGGAGGATCCGACATTTCAGGAGGCCAGGGCGGATCCGACAGTTCAGGAGGGACCAGGGAGGATCCGACAGTTCAGGAGGCCAGGGAGGATCCGACAGTTCAGGAGGCCTGGGAAGATCCGACAGTTCAGGAGGCCAGGGCGGATCAGACAGTTCAGGAGGCCAGGGAGGATCGGCCTTCGAGGCCTTGCCATGGGAGCCATAGCTTGGCCACTATGGCCGGGGACGTATAGCTGCCACCCCATTTTCTTGGGAGGAGCTCTGGGGTTATTAACTGGATTGGGTTCATGGGCTGGAGGAGCGGGCTCTGGGCTGAACTCAGGGGCTGGAGCAGTCACAGGACTCTGGTCAGGGGCTGGAGCCGTCACTGGACGCAGATCAGGGCCTGGCGGGGCGATGGCTCCTTCCACCTCACCTACTGTGTAGGACGAACCACTTAGCCACAGGACATCCTTGATGTACCACTGCAGGGAACAAGTTGTTGTTGAAACCGCTGGAACCTGTTTGACAAGATGATAGTCCAACCCGCTCCAAAACACTGTTTTTAAGGTGCCCTCATTTTAAAGTACCATGTAGGAGAGCTCTAAAAATTCCTCCACATAATCCTCAATCAGGAGGCCATCTTGTGTCCTGGAGAGGAGAAGGCAATCTACTGCTATTCCTGCAGTTCCCGGATGTGCAGTGTTGAATTTTCTGTCGAATTTGAACCATTGAATTTGTGGAAGCAAATTTGTAAAGCGAAATAAAATGGAAGGAAAATTGCCTGTAAAATTGACCGAAAATTTTGTAGGTTGTATTTTTAAACAGACCAAATATTTTGGAAGTGAAATCTGAAAGATGAATTTGGATTATTGAATTTTTAATAATGAAAATGTGTTTGAAATGTTTTTAATTGAAATTTT